AACGCCGTCAACTAAAAAATTTGATAAAAATTAACAGCTTTACAGACAATAAATATTTTTACTACGAATCATTAAATTATGTATAGGTATTATATAGGTATACCATAAATTGAAAATAAATATTAAATTTATACTTATTCTCCATATTTCTTTGTTCACTTTTAGCTCTTGTGTAAGAACAATATATCATCCAATCAATTGTGTTATGTATTTTTATTTCTTAGAAAAAAATGGAATTTATTTTTATGTGACACATCTGTGTCTTAAGTGTAAAAGTAATTGTAACTTTTACATTTTTTATATCATAAAAAAATGTTTATATAATTATATATTAATTTTTTCCAATCAGCCTTATTAATAATTTTGTTAATTATTTTGTTAATACGTCGTTTAAATTAGTTATTAACGTATCTAATTTTATATATATCTTATTGAAAAAGATTCGATATTGTCCACAATATTTAAAAAAGTAATAAATTTAATATAAAGTATTCTTATTGGTAGTTTACACAGGAAAATTACTAGGCACTGACCAATTTAAATAGATTTTTTAAATTTAAATAGATTTAGTGGACTAACGGAACTGTCTTATTATTTTACACTTCCTAAAGTGGTATAAAATAATAATAATAATAATAGAAAGATTTGTTAATAAATCAAATATGCAGTATTGGTGCAATTCGAAGAAAATTAAAATATATTATTTTTTTAATCACACTTAGTTCTTTTGCGGCAGACGATAACCAGTTGCAAGTTAGTCGCGAATCTACTTTATTGACTGTCACATTTGAAGCATTTCCATTAATTTGTAACTGGCGGAGTTTTCCAACGCGCATGCGCAATATACATTATTTGATGGATTTGGATTGGCAGGACTGCTACGATTCTTTTCCTTCATTACTTCCTTGGGATGGTGAGTGTTCTTGTAGTGTGCTATCTCCAGAATAATCCGGAGATATCCAAGGCATCATCGCACTATTCACAGTTTATTTCCATTAAACATACAATTGACATCATCGTGAATAATTTTCTGCATTTATTATATTCGCGAAGAGAATGTTGCGATATATCTTTACTAGACCGATTAATGTTAACCTAAACGATCCTTATTTTATATTGAATAACATAATCGAAGGCAGTTTTCGAATTAATTGATAATTTCAACATTAGTCGTCATTGTATATTTTTGATCTTTTGTATTACTTTATTATGTTTACCTAGTCTACACACAAGAAGAAGACCAGGAAGTTACGTGGACACGTGAGCCATGGCCACGGTCGCGTTGGTAAGTTTACCCGGTAAAATTTGTTGTAGCTATAACCACGTGTGTAAAGTAAATAAAAACTATTAGTAATATAATAAATGATGCTAGTAAATAAACAGCACAATACATAACTATGAATTTGAGATTAAAATTTCACATTTTTGTTAATGTAGAATATTCCTTGCAAAATTTCAACTGGAATTCTTAGATAATAACTAAAGTTATTAGATGGAATCAATGATGCTTCATTTTTGTACATGTATGATTATTCCTCTATCATATGTCTCGACTTTTGTATTTTGATTTAACTTTTGATATAAATATTTGTTTTTTTTATCGGATAGATATATTAAAGGTATATAGATTTATATATATTTTTATTTATCTTTTAGGCAAGCATAGAAAGCACCCAGGTGGTCGCGGTAATGCCGGTGGTATGCACCATCACCGAATCAACTTTGACAAATACCATCCTGGTTATTTTGGAAAGGTAAGAATCCATTCATGTGATATTGCACAATAAAGATAGCTATAAATCTTTTTAGCTTTTTGCACGATTTATTTTTCTTTTTTTTTCTTTGAATGTTGGAGAAAAATAAAGAGGAAAGGCAAACGATGCAAGAAGTGCTAGAAAGAACAGATCTATGTATCAGATGATGAGACTTCAATTTTCACCGGCGAACTGAATTATATTGATTGTATTTGTATAATCTGAATAACTTCTAATATTTGAAATGTTATTTGAGAATTTACAAATTGACTAATAATTGATATTTTTGTCTTTAACTTACAGCTTGGTATGAGGAATTATCATCTACGACGCAACACCAAATGGTGTCCCACTATAAATCTAGACAAATTGTGGACTCTGGTCTCTGAACAGACGAGATTGAAGTACAAAGATGTTGGAGGCAAAGCTCCCGTAATCGATCTTGTAAAAGCGGTAAGTAATAGACTTTTTTTTTGTAATGTCATAATTTTATTTACACTGGAGCTTCATAATAGCACTGTGCGTTATTTCGAGGTTCACTATTAAAGTTCCAGTGTATCATATTTTTTTTTAATATTTATATTCTATTTCCTCATATGATGATTTGCAACGGGCGGACTGAAAAGTGCTGTACAACACTTGTATTCCTGTAGAATGTTGCATTCTGATTGTTATAAAATATTTAAAAAAAGATTGTATAATAAAACGCGACAATTCAATTATGTTTGCATTTCTATTTTGGTATATAAAATATATAAATACTTATTGATCAATATTAACTTTTTTCAGGGATATTACAAACTCCTAGGAAAAGGACGTCTGCCGAACCAGCCTGTTATCGTAAAGGCTAAATTCTTCAGTAAACAGGCAGAGGACAAGATCAAGGCAGTTGGTGGGGCATGTGTTTTGTGCGCATAATCATCGAGTATGTTGATTTCTCTTTAAACTTTTTCTTTGGTGATATCTTTTTGTTATTGTGATGATTCAGCAACGGGCGGTCTGAAAACTGTATAGCATTTTAACGTAATGTTGTGCATTAGTGTAGATTGTTGCATTCTGATTAACAATTTTGTGAAATATCTTAAATATTATTTTATGTAAACAAAATGCTAATTTATACGTTTTGTTTTCAGAATATCAATCTCCATAAACGTGTACTTTGTAAGTACTTTATAAGTACTCAAACTTTGATGCAATCTGTCAAATAGAAGATCGGCATTAATTTACAGAGAATGTATTTCGATGAAATGATAAATAAACATTTTTTTAATCACATTCGTCTCGTTCCTTTCTCACAATTTGTTTTATTTTTATAGAATTATAATTAGATTTCTCATTTATATTACACAATCCAAACATATTTTAAGTTTCGTGATTTAGAATAAAATCGATCTTTTGTAACAAGCTGATAGCGAAGATCTAAGCACTAATAGTATGAAAAAGATTATATAAATATGTCTTGTATCCCGCCAGATTCCTTATGCTATGTGAGGTGGTGGTGGAGGTATTTGCATCCCGGGTGCCAAGAGGGCTGGCGGCGGTGGTACTGGATTAAACATTGGTGGTCTGGGTGGAGGTGGTGGAACAGGCACCATCGGACCCAATCCTGGTCTTATCAGAGGAACTGGCGGTGGTGGTACTTTACCCACAGACGGCTTCTCGTTTTTAAATGCAAATTGCAAGAAAAATTGTTTCGTGTCCTTATTCCAATGAGTCCAAAACTTTCCTTCTGCCTTTTCCACTTCTCTGCTAGGAACCTATAACATTGATTATGTGAATAAAGCAAAGCTTTTCCACTATTACTACTTTTAAACATCATTTATATTAAATAAATAGAAATTCTTGTTTTAATTATTCAAACACGTTCAATGGAATGAATGACTTAATATTCAAATAGAAAGGGGGTGTGAGAACATAGAAATAAGCATACAAATACGTGAAAAGAGCTACATTCAATCAAAATGCATCTTGGTGTCCAATATTTATGTATGAATTTTATAATCAATTTATGCAAACTCACACACACACACACACACACATATATATATATATATATATATAAACAGAAACTTCTATTTGTTTTAACTCGATTAAGGCTTAAAAGTAATATTACAAATTTTTGAAATATTACAAAATTGACAAATAATTTAATAATATTGATGTTAATAAACATTCTTCAGAAATAATCTTACTTTGAAGGCGATAGTCTCGTATGGCTCAGCTGCAAACAGCAGATACTGCCACTTGCGATCTGGTGGCTCGACCCTTTGCTCATAGGCAGACATGAACCTATGTCGCGGTATCACATTGTCTGCCACCTCTGGGTAATCTACTTGAAATAACAGACTCTGCTGGCCAGACTCCGGATCACGCTGCTTGGTGACTCGATAACCAGGTCGACCAATCTTCACAAACTTCTTCGGCTCAACCCGGGGCTTTTCTGGTGCAAGGGTCTGTGGCGCTTCCTTGGCTTCTTTCGCAGCTCTCCTGGCTAAATTGGCTTGATGTTTCTTACCCTGAGTGTGAGCTAGATAACTGCCCTCATTATTGTGTAGAGTAAGACACAGTTTGCATTCGTATGAGCCCAGGTGATTTTTCATAAAATACGGATCCTTGTTTAGATCAATGGTCTCCAGGGCGAGCTGACGGAGACGCTCCCGGCGGTCGCGATTGCTCTCCGACCAGGAGGCGACGCCGCCGCCACCGGTTTTGCCGCCCGGACGATTCTGGAAATCCATTGTTGCTCTCCAAGAGTAGGCCGCGTCAGTACAATGAAAATCGTTCTTTGCAAGTGGAGATACTCGTCAATGTTATTGTAAGTACATCAATAACCTCACTTGGATATGTTTAGTTTAATATAACCTATAATATAACTACGTTTTATGATTTTATCAGATAGATGGCCTGCTACTTCACATTCGCATAGAGTTCCTAGAGTAGATAGGGACTCTACATTCGCACTCAAGAAGTTTTTACGGGAGGGCATTAGACGACAATTGGCTGCGTTCAGCAGAAAAAACGGCTTTGCAACTGTTGTAAAATTCTTGAATATGATTGGTTTATACATTTAGATCCAATGAGAAACTAAGAGCAAGATTAATTATATTGAAGAATTTTACAACAGTAGTTGCAAAGTGCTTTCTCTGCTGAACGCAACCATTTTCTCGAAAAATGGAGGGGATAATGTTGATATCAACCATACCTTATCGGTAACCTCGGTTCTCTTTCTGTATATATTCGTATGCTCGCTGGTGTAAGAAGGCACTTGTTGACTGTAAATAATAATATTCGTATAAGGAATTATAATAAATAATAGAATTTTGAATAGAATTATTTACAGCATGTAGGTTGACCATGTATCATGGACTCGAAATTTGAACTGTCGCTAAAAAGTTATTTTCCCTGAAGAAAAAGAGGAGAATCCCGAATTCTTTCCGAAAGACGGCTGCTCCTATTGTCATTGTTGACTCTTTGTTGATCAACTGCGAGAGTCACGATGGCTGCGAGGGGTATTCATAGCCTGAGATTCAATCAGGATCAAGGTAAACTTTAATTTGCAATTGAACCGCAAAATACATTCTTTTTTTCATTGGCATTAAGTCTTTTTTTTTTGGAGTTACTTCCATCAGTTGGTGAGATTTGTGTATCTTTTTATCTTCTTAAGATTATATGATGTCTAAAAATAATCTTTCTTATGCTGTTCTCGTAGTTTAAATTTATTTTTAAATTTATATTATTTTTTTCCAACTTTTTTGTATAATTGAATATGATGTTCTCTTTTGATTAGTTAACTATGCTCTTACTTTCGTCTATTCCTTTCTAAAGCTCCTTATCATCATTTCTTTCTGATTATCATATTTATGACACTGAGCATTGAGATAATCTCTCTTTCCCAGGTTGTTTTACATGCTGCATGGAATCTGGACTGAGAATCTATAATGTCGACCCATTGGTTGAAAAGGCGCATTTCGATAATGATTTAATGGGAAGCATCTCCATGGCCGAGATGCTCTGGAGAACAAACGTGATTGCCGTGGTAGGTGGTGGGAATCGTGCTAAATTTGCTGATAATACCGTTCTGATTTACGACGATCTATTGAAGAAGTTCGTTATGGAAGTCACCTTTACCAGTATCATCAAAGCAGTCAGATTGCGAAGGGACAAGTATGGAATCCTCTTTTGTTCTCTCATTGCAAATTCTTGTATATTAGGCATCTGTTCTATAGAAAAATATTCTTATGTCGTAGAATGATAGTAGCACTACAGCGAGAGATACACGTCTTTTCGTTTCCTACGCCTGTTCGAAGGTTGTTGACGCTCGAAACTAGAGACAATCCAACAGGCTTAGTGGAAATAGCAACGTTCGCGACAGCGCAAAGGCAATTGCTGGCTTTTCCTGGTCACAAACTCGGTAGTGTACAATTGGTGGATCTTGGAGCTACCGAGGCTGGTAGTTCCAGTGCACCTATTACTCTTTCAGCACATCAGGTATTTCTTCTTGTTATTTGAATTTTTTTCTTTCAACATAATAAAAATTTACATGATTCGATTACTTTAAAATTTATTTTTAATTTTTATTTATATTGCAGTATTTTCTCAGTATTTCTTTTTTAAAATTCTTTATATTCTTTATATGGGTGACAGGATTAAAACTAGATTTTTTGTTTGATAAGCAATTGTTGAAGTATTAAGTTATCTAAGATCCTTGATTGATACTTTAATGATTAGTAAAGCGAACAATGTTTTATTGTTCTATTTATTATTGTATCCATATATGTGTTGCAATAACAACAGGGTGCACTGGCATGTCTGGCAGTTAATGGAAATGGGACCATGATCGCGACTGCATCTGTTCAGGGGACTTTAATCAGAGTGTGGGATTCTGTACGCAGGAGTTTATTGGTTGAATTAAGGCGTGGTGCTGATCCTGCTACTCTCTATTGGTTAGTATACAAGATTAATATCTAACGTTATAACATTCTGCCATAATGCAAATATTATTTTTCAGTTTTTTAATGTTTCTCAATATTTTTTTTTCTTTTAGCATAACATTCAGCAGAGATTCGGAATTCTTATGTGTTTCGAGCGATAAAGGAACAGTTCATATATTTGCCCTAAAAAATACCAGTTTGAATCGACGATCCACGTATGTAGATTATATCATTTTTTAAATAAAGGCTGCGTTCAGTAGAAAAAGCAGCTTTGCAACTGTTTTTTAATATGATTAGTTCATATATTTAGATCCATGAGGAATTAAATGCAATCACATTAAAAAATCCTTAAACCGTGATCAGAGATTGAGATTGAATTGAAATTTAATTAATCAGAAGAAAGAGAAAATCAATTTCAAGCTTAGTGAACTTTGCTTTGATTGGTTAGATTTCAAACTAATCTCAGTCTCTAGTTTGTTCACAGCTTTACAATAGTTGTAATGCTACCTTTCGATTTAATGCAGCCAAACAACTTTTCATATATTGTTATCTCATTTTTAGTTTTTCAAATATGGGATTCTTGGGCAACTACGTCGAGAGTCAGTGGGCATTGGCTACCTTCACAGTACCTCCAGAATGCGCTTGCGTTTGTGCGTTTGGTACACACAATTCTGTGATAGGTACTGTATTTATTTTGCGAAAAATGTCGCTGATACACTTTGTTTCTTCCTTTATATTTTTATTTTTTTTTTGTAATTTCAGCTGTATGTATGGATGGAACGTTTCACAAATACGTCTTCACCGCAGAAGGCAATTGCAATCGGCAAGCGTTCGATGTCTTCCTCGACGTGTGTGATGACGACGATTTTTAATATGAAGCCTATTACGTATGTGCGTATAGTTACAAGACTATATACTTGCAATAAAATTTCTAGTCGGATTACGAGCGAAATTTCTTGTATGTGTGTGATATAATTGTACAGGTAATCGAATCGCTGATTACGTAGAAAGCACATAAGTCATGGAAAAGTCAGTGTTCCATGGAGTCTTCGAATACAATCTTTTTTTTATGACTTATGTGCTTCCCATAATTATACAATTTTAATAAATATGAACAGACATTTATATTATATATTTTGTACAACAAACAATCTATTTAATTTTATATCTATATTACCTATCCTTTATAAAATTTTTGGGAATATAGAAAGAAACTGCATAACATCATAACATGTAATTAACATGTCCAATAATTTTACAGGAACTTCCAGCAAATTTTACAAATTTAAGTTATGAAGGTCTATCTGAGAAGGCTCGTTCTCGAATTCTTTCTGAAAAAAAGTTAATTGACATAATAATTAACTGTGCAGATCATTTGATTATTTATTAATAGTCTGAAGGCAGATATGTACTGTACGGTTCAGGATTCAGCATGGGTCGTATCATGGCAGCATAACAGCATAAACCAAAAAATCCAACAAAACCTCCAACAAATACACCATACCTCCATCCTTTCAATCGCATAACTCCCAACAGATCTATGAGTAAAAAAAATCAAATACATTAAAATACATGATTTAATTTTAAACAAACGGAAACTTCCACTTTAATTTCATTAGAAACAGGATCATACCGTATATTTCGAGATTATGTTTACATGGAATTTTTACATATTGTTTAAGTTAAGTTTTTACACAAATTTTTTTATACAAACAGTACAAATAATGTAAAATATATAAATTATTATAAATTGGATAACACAATACAGAAAAACGTAACTATATTTTATGATTGTTAATATGTCTGACTTTAGTAAATCTGATAAATAAAAATATATAATCGAGATGGAAGTTTCAGAGAGTGTAGTGCAACGATAAAAAAATAGGCATAGATTATTTTATGATATGTAAAACATAATTTATATCGTATACACACAGATGTAGATTATTATTTATATTTTAATGTAAAATGCACATTCTTGATTCAAATATATTTGACTTGTCTCAATGATATATTCTCGAACACAGAAGCACACCGAGATTTAATTGTGACAAACGTCACTAAAACATTACATCGAGTCTTACCACGAAAATTATTTTGTGTTTAATTTCAATGAATAATCTCCGATTTTTGTTTCGATTTTTATTTCTAAAATTATCGTTAGTGTCCCATACTTATTTCCGAGGTTATGTCGTGTAGTGTCCAATTGTGCCGATAGATGGCGAAAACTTGTAACTTTGTGTTTCTCGTTAGTACATGCGAATGTATTACTCAGTATATAAGCAATATTGTAAGAAAGCTTCATTGTACTTGCTTCGGCAGTACATATACTAAAATTGGAACGATACAGAGAAGATTAGCATGGCCCCTGCGCAAGGATGACACGCAAAATCGTGAAGCGTTCCACATTTTTTGCAGTTTTAAACACTTATTATTTATTTATTTTGGTACTCGTGAAATTGCATGATAATTTATCTGATAAGTTAAATGTCCTAATAATTGAACTGGTAATAATGTTTTATGATGTCATATCAATTGCTGATGGATATTACAAAAGAATCAATATTTATTTTTTAGTGTTTTATTTAAATGTATTAGTGTATGTATGTACATATATATCTACATGAAACTTATTTGTTTTATCGGTGTTAAAGATATTGACATATAAATTTAGAAAAGGACTATCTATAATAATTTTTTTTTCCTTTAAAAAAATTTTAGGAAATTTATAGATTGTAGAGTATTATATATAATCAATAAAATTAATTTAAAAAACCATCAATATGCATCAATAAATGTGAAAATTATATATACGCATTTATTAGAACACTTTACATTTATAAAAAATTTCAAAGTTTTTTTTATATAATAACGTTGTTTTTCGTTAAGTTTCTAGGAGTAATATTTAGCAAGTTTATTTATAAAAATTGATTAATTTTAGAATAAAACGACAATAATATAATTCAGTTATGCTGATATTGCGTAGCTATTGCATCTCGTATACATATATAGTTCCATAATTTTTTATTAAATTATTTAATTGACGAGATCAAAATTCATATGATTCCTATCAACCTCGATGGGTATGCACTTATAAGTGGCGTTTAACGACAATAGAGTGACACTTGACAATAGGTATTAAGGTACTTCATATCTAAAGTGAGTAAATTAAATTTCCATCACAATTGCAGCAATTTTAGCATAATCATGAATAAATGCAAAGTTTTATTGACCGCATTCCACAGATATAACATATTTATTTTGCACTGTTGGAAATTGTCTTCGTGTTAATTAGATTAATTCTTTTAAATCTAGAAGAAAATACTTTCTATTTCAACCACAGCGAAGAAAACTTCCAACTATTGTAAAATAAACATTCTGCTGAACGCGGCTATGATGTGTATATGTATGTACAAGTGCACATATCAGGATATTCGGGAGTGTCATATCACCGATATGTGAACACCAGTGAACGCTGTAGACGGCGCGGCATCTTGATCTCTTCCCATTTACATAATGATCTCTACGCGATAATCGAAGTAGATGCGTAAGCGTATCGTGCGGATTAAGTGACGGCCGAGTCGGAAAAAATCCGCAGGAGCGTCAGTTTATCAATAACGGTGCTCCGTCAATCTCGTTGGTGAATATCCTGGACGCCGGTATCACGAGAGGTTACGTCCACGAGCGGGACAAATGAATCGATTGTGGTAGTGGGAACAGAAAGGTAAGGGATCATGTCGAGAAAGTGGTTGTCGAATTTTGCGCTGGCCGGTACCATCAGGCTACTGATAATGAACTCCGAGTACCAGAAGATCATTGGTAACCGTGTCGAGGTGTCGACCGCCTTAAACTCCTGGAAGAGAGGTTAGTCGGATCCTGCTTCGATACACCCTCCAGTCGTAGGAGCACACAGTTTTGTTTGCGATTATGTTCGACTGTTTTTTTTATTTTAAATTAAAATATTAACACCCTAGAACTGTCGATATCTATTTTCTAGTATTTAACTCTTTGGAACTGACGTGTCTATCAGATCCATTAAATATATAGTGATCGTTTGGATAACAAATATTCTGATGAGTAAAAATAATTCAACTTTGTCTGTGAAGTAATGTTAATAGATAATAAAAATATTTAAATGTATAAAAATATATAAAAATAATAAAATAATAAAAATACATTATATTTGAATTTATTACTACTCTAGTTTTTAATTCTTATATCTACTATTGAAGTAATTATAGTTTTATACAAAAATGTCAAACAATTCAATTTTCTTTACGTTATATTTGCAAGTTTGAATTATTGTTATTAAAATAACTTTCTAATAAATTATTTTTTATACAAGTTATATTATTTGTTTTTGATTCTTTGAAATTAATTAGTATCTTTTAATCAATATAAATTAAATGGGTCTCACAGAGTCAATAAATGTATCATAGATTTTGAGGATTAAATATTGTTTTGATCAATTACGAACAGATCGGTTTCATAATCATGAAACTTAATGTTTTTGATTTTCCAGTAACTGAAGGAGTTTACCTGCATAAATTTGGCATAGACCCATACGAGGGAGATCTATTTCACGAGACTCCAATTGGCTTATACGTGTTCACCCTGATGCAGGAATACTTACCTCAATGGGCATTATTTCTACTATTTATTGTCGTTGACTTAACGACTGCCCTGTGCCTCGCTCATGCAGCAAAACATTACGCATTTGAATTGGTCGGTACAATATTGGAATTTAAATTTGTCTAGTTTAAAATCTTCTTGATAAAAAAGTGCATGGTACTTATTTCAACTTAAATTACAGACAACGAAAAAGAAAGAGGAAAAGGATGAGAATAAGGAGCTTAGTAAAGATGTTCCCAACACGTCTGCTCTGTACGTTTCTGCAGCGTATCTATTTAATCCGTATATAATACTAAACTGCATTGGCCTAACAACTACGGTTTTTACCAATCTACTCTACTCGATCGCGCTGGTGTCAATGACGAGACGCTCTGTGCTTTGGAGTTGCACATCGATAGCGTTATTGACGTTGCAAGGACTCTACCCCATGTCACTTATGGTACCGGCAACTATTTACGTCGCCACTACGGCGAAGAACAGAAAAATCAATATTGTTACGATGCTAATTGTATTTACGAGCATCCTGGCAATCCTATTTGCCATTTCTTACTGTATCATGGGAAGCTGGTCTTTCTTGTGGAGTACCATTGGTTTCATTCTAACTGTTCCAGACTTACGTCCGAATATCGGACTGTATTGGTACTTCTTCACAGAAATGTTCGAGCATTTCAGATGGCTTTTCATCGCGTCCTTTCAGATAAACGTCAGTTTATTGTACATAGTCCCTCTAGCGCTACGGTTGCGACGCGATCCAATGTTACTGGCATTTTCCTACCTAGCGATAGCTGCCATATTCAAATCTTATCCATGCATCGGAGACGTCGGCTTCTATATATCTCTACTGCCACTGTGGAAACACTTGTTCCAACGTGAGTTTAATTCGCGATATTTTTATCGTATTATTGAGAACGGTGAGAATTATTCTAATACGTCATACGTTTTTTTTTAGATATGCAACAAGGATTCATTGTAGGTTGTTTTTTACTATTTTGCACGGTTTTTGCCCCAACCGTGTGGCATCAGTGGATCTATTCCAGATCAGCGAACGCCAATTTTTACTTTGGAGTAACACTGGCGTTCGCCATAGCACAAATCTTCCTTCTGACGGACATCTTATTCGCCAGCGTAAAATACGAGTTTGCAGTTCAGCATGGTATTGATAAGAAAATTAACGGAAATGAGGCTAAACTGCTACTCGAGTAAAATAGGCTTTTTTTTAGAGCGAAATGTACAATCCCCTGCCGATGAACAATGACAAGTGATACATGTCTTTGAATCATTGCCATGTGAAAAAAATAAATAGTTTTTTACAAAAAAAGTTTGTCTTTATTTTGCTCGATTGATACATGTGTTCATTTTTGGTTAAAACACTTATAATATCATAGTACAAACTTTCTTTTAAAACTTGCTCTTACCTCTAAAGTATATATTATACTAAAACAATTTAATAATTTACAGTTAAAACCATAACGGTGTTCATGAT